TGCAGAGACCACCTGTCCTCTGACCAGAAGCCCTCAGCAGAGCAAAGGAAGGGCCCGTGGGTAAGGGCGAAGGCAGGCACAGACTTTACGGGGAGGTAAAGGGAAAAAAATAGATGAGCTGGGGGGAGAAACCAAGGGTTTGTTTTGCAAGCGAGATGAAGGATTTCTCCCGTGTTCCTTATCTGTGGAATGATGAAATTAAGTGCTCAAGGGATGGGGCAAGGAGGGAATTGTAGCAAGGAACATCTGATCAGTTACATGTTGCTCTCCTATCAGTGTGCCAAGTGCCGTATTTACTGTCGCTTTTATTTTTACGGCCCCCTCGGCCAATGCTGGATGCACTAAGAGACAGAGCCAGCGCAGGACTAAGCCTTTCTGCTGGAATTCACAGGATGAGCCGTTTCCACAACATGTCAGTAGGTGGCAAAAAGCTACAACCGTTGTGCTAAGCAAGAAATAAATATTTTTTTCCTGCTCCTGCAAGAACGGGGAGGTATCTGTGGGCAGCTCCATCCCATGGGTGGAGATGGATGGTGGTACCCTTGGACCAGAGCACTTCTGGGAGCGGGGCACATCCCATATTGGGAGCAGATAGAGCCTCAGAAGAGAAACAGGAGCTGTCTCCCTCCTTTAAATTCATCAGGGGACCCTTGTGCCACCTCTTGATGTTGCTCAGGAATTATTTAAAGACAGCTGGAAACTGTAAGGGCTTAATTGCTGTTTCCAGCCCTGGAAAACAACAGGTTTAGGGCTGCGTTATCACAGCACAGTCTGAAGATACCTAGTTAGACAAACCAAAACATGCCACAGCTTATATTTTTCAAGCTGATGATAATACTTTAATCTTCATGTACAGCCTGAAACGGAGCTGCTCAAGTCAACGTTCTTGGGCGCTTTTTTTCTCACGGCTTTGTGTAAGCAGATTGAAGCAATCCCAGCTGCTGGTCACACACCTTCCAGGGAGGCAGGGCAGATAAAGGGTTTAATAAGGTTAGTGGATACATGCCAGCGCCTTTGATGGTGGGTTTTTTCTGCTTTTGAGCATGTGCATGTGTTGGGGAAGGGAGGACATTGCATGATGCTGAAAACTTGCATTCCTGAGGAGGTTAAATACTCTGAGCATCAGGTGGGACAGAGTGCAGGAAGGTTAGAAAATCACATTAATCCAGACTACTTGATGAGATCCAGTTACATCGTGGCTTTGTTCAACTTTATTTACACAACACCTCTCTTTACCAAGTGTAAGTAAATAATTTTTCTGCTCAAGAACAATAACAGAGATATTACAGCAACCCTGGCTGCAAGGTCTCTGAAATACCTTCCTGCTTTTTAAAATACAGAGGTGAGTTTTGCTGACATTTCCTCTTATGAAGCTGTACATTTAATTGCTGATTCTGCCAGACATCAGCTGCTGGTGCTGACTTTCCCCAGCTCGATTGTCTCCTTCAGGCTGAGCATTATAATTTTGTTTTAACCTTTCAGCAAAACAGGTTCAGCTAAGCCTGAGCTGGAGGAACTTGGGTTGCTCTGGCAGTGTTCATACCACCGACAGAAACATCCTATAACCATTTCACTGGGAAGATCGAACGTCCTTGTGCTTTGGGGCAGGGATCTATCTGACCTGCGTCTTCCCTTTCTTTGGGGCTGGCCATTTGCTGATACCTGTAGCCACATCATTAACTGCGTAAAATCTCCATTCTTTGTCATTTTTGTGAAAACTGGATCAGCTTCTGCCTCAGCACAGCTCCTGTGTGGAGAGATGTTTAAGCAGGATGGATCCAGCCTTGCCTCAAAGCTGGGTGGGTGGTGTGAGACACAGAAACACCTTTTTAGCCAGCAGGTAACTCACCCCATCCCAGGATAGACACCACCTGGAGATACCCCTTACTTCTCCTCTCATGCTCTCAGCTATAAACAGAGCAGGTGACTGTTTTATATCAGCTTCACAGTCCTTAGATATCCAGAATTAGATCAGACAAATCTCACTCTGCTTCCCCACTCTGAAACCTTCCCTCTTGGCTCTTCCTCCTCTGCCTACACGTTGCTCTGCACCACTAAAATCAAACCCCATGCAGGTTTCCTCTTCGTTATCCTTTAAAACTCATCCTGCACCCGTGCCTGCCAGGCAGGATGCGGCCGTGCTCCCTGGGGAGGCACGCTGGGGTCAAGGCCAGGGGCTCTGCCAAAACACAGACACTGGTTTCTTGGATTGAAGCTGTGTGTGCTCGGTTATGTTGTGGCAAGTTTCACCCTCTCCATAGTTGACTCTAATGACTCAGGCTTCAAATGAGGAGATAATATTGAGCATTTGGAATCTATTCGGAGGAAAACAGCTCTGTAAAGTCTTCCTTGCTGATGCACACGCATTGTGGGGTTTTTTTCCATCTTCTGTAATGTGTAGAAATGTCTAAGTTTCACCTATAGTAATAGAGACAACATCTTCATTCCCAGCCTCTGGAAGGATGTTTGAAAACGTGAGAAGAGGATGAGTTGCCATCTGCCTCTCTACAGGTTATGATGAATTAATACAATCAAGAGCAGCACAGTCAAACAATTTTGAGCACCAGGAGTGGGAAGTGGGTTTGCCGATTTTATCGCCTCCGTAAGAGCAAATTTTGCACACCATAAATTGATAAATTAATGCTCTGAGTCTCTTCTCTGCACAGTCTGCGATATGGATCGACTGGTCCACATATACTTCTCTGTGGGCAGCACTCTTCCCCAATGCTGGCAACATGATTATTGGAAAACTAATCAGCTCTATCTGAGATAAATTGCATTTCCACCAATTATAGCTTAATTGTTGACAGATGGGAACACAGAAGGGAGATGTGTCACATCATTAAGAGAACAGGTGTATAGACAAGTGCCAGATTAATTGTTCCAGCCCATTAAATCATTGACCTTTTCAGCATACCCTCAACGTCGAATTCAAAGCTCTCACAATATTTCCAGCTCGCACACGATGACCATGTTTATCTGCAAAGTTCTCAGGGGTGTTTTTAAAACACTCCAGACATGGACTCATTAGCCACAAGCAGTTCTCCTTTCTCATTAAAATAATTTCTCTTCTCCCCCCTTCTCTGCATTGGGGTTTGTTTTCTTGGCTTTTCAGTGAAATCACGCATGGTGTGTGGGATTTCTCCTAAGAGCAGTTTTCTCCATGAAGCTGAGAGACGTGCTGTAATGGGTTATACGTTTAGGGATGTCAAAGAGAGGTGAAATCGGGACAGAGAAGCTCGGTGCTGGGCAGCTGTGCTGAAGGCTCCAGCTTTGATTTGGGACTTTGGCTGTGATTTCCAGCTCCTGCTCTGCCTGGGATTTTCAATAAAGCTTGTGAGAGACAAATAGCTAAATACCATTGAAACGGAGTCAGCCATGAGTGTCCAATTACCCTAAATATGTGTAAAAATGTGTCTCCTGCTCTTTTTCTGGCTATGTAATCCAGGAAGCTGAGGGTGCAGCGCAGACACATCCAAAACAGCTTTGTGGGAGGCAGCACAGGTTTGAGACAGCGATGCAGGACATGTTTCATCTGTCCTGAACTATCCAAGCCCTGATCTGTCCTGGATAATTGAGAACCGACTCCAGATCTAGTTATTCTGGATGTCCTGACTGGAAAAATAAGTTTTCCAGATGAAGGAAATGAAAGTCGTGTGATGATAACGGTATTTGTTACTCCTGGAGTCCCTGCCCTGTGGCAATGAGGTGATCTGAAGATGTTTTAACCCCGGGTAGTTTTAGAGAGACCAAGTGGAAAGCAACCTGGGGAGACAAGCAGGAGGCAAGAGGAAGAGTTAGCGCCCTTTGCCAGCTCCACAACTTCAAATGGAGGCAAAAGCGATGGTGGGAATCAGACAGGTAATTTTTCCCAGGGCCAGAGCTGATGGTGGGTTCTCTCCCTCCCCTGTGTAGCACCAGTCCCTGATACAGCCAGTTTGTCATGGTAAAGTAACATGATGTGTAACCGAAATCTCATTTTATACATGTGTCTGAATGTGACTTACTGTGTTGCACAAAGATGATGCACCTTTAATGTATAATACAAAGACAACCAGGTAGGAGACAGGAGAAACAGGTGAAATTCCCTCTCAGATAATGAATGATTTTATAAGGAAAAGCAGAGAATTTTATGAAAAAAAAATACATTTTAGGAGAGATGGAAACTGCAAGAATCTCTTTGATAGATCTGAAACGCTTCATATAACCAACTTTTTTCAATATGCTTAGAAATGTCAGATTGCAACAGGGGCAGCTCGTTCAAATTCTTGGTGGACGCAGCAGCCTTGACCAACACCGCCGGGGTATGTGTGTGCCGGAGATCCCTCGGTTTCCACCATTCCTAGTGCAACACCGAACCCCAGACAGAGAAGGCAAGCGAATGAAAGGCAGCTTTTCCAGAAAATTTTCCATAAAACTGCAGGTTAGTGCTGAAGAAAGTACATGTATTTCTGTGTCTGGGGCAGGAGAGGGGAGTAAATTTTTAAAAAAATGTCAGAAAGGAATTTTAGAAATGCCAGAATATTTATTTTAAAGACTTCTTAAATGAGTTGTTTTACTTTGCATTTTAAACTGTGCTTTTGTGGTTAGGAAAGGATACAGGGTTAAAAACAAGTTAAACACAAAGGTTGAGTAACCCAAAGGCAAGAAAAACATTTCATTTCAGCTACAACTTAATACTTGGGGTTAACCCAGACTATTTTCCGGCTTCTGCTTGGGTTTTTTGCCATCTTCCTTCTCCCCCTTCATTGTTGCTCATTCCAAGCCATTTTCTCCCCAGGTATTTTGATTCAGCCACGCAACCCAGACAGTCTTTGCTCACTCTACATCAGTGATGTCCCCGCTTCCAGCGGTCCTTTCCACTGGCCCCTACTCCCAGAAATGCCGCTTACCACAAACATCGTGTCTCCACCCTCTGTCCGTCCATCTGGGGGGGTTCAGCCCCACTAGAGCCAGGCCTTTGTTTCTTCAGCACGTCTCTCTCACCTCAAGCCATGCCACTAGAAATCCCTATCAAAGAAGTCATCAAAGAGAGAAACTCTCTCTGTCTTGGTTCTCACAAGCGTAGGTTTGCGGTAAATCTTCTCTTTCCCTTCCCACTCCTCGGAGCTTGTGCTGGAGGTGTCCCAGAACAGATCTCTCCTCTGTGGCTCCCTGCAGAACCACAAGTTATCCTTCCTGCTCCTGCCAGGAGAGAGTTCGGCCCCATTATGCTGCCTGGAGAGTCTTCCACCCCACATGTTTCCTTGGGGAGAGAAAAAAAAAAAAAAGAAAAAAAAAAAAAAAAATTTTGCAGAGCTACATGCACAGTTCCCTACAGTTTATCTGGAAATGGCTATGGACAGCTGGAGGCAAGTGAAGAAGATCCTGAGAGGTACCTGTAAGACCAGATCTGATGCTCGAGGCTGGGCAGGGTAAGGTGTAATATACTCAGGATTGTATTTGGTGAAATTATAGAGTCTGGCAAGAGACAGTATGGTTTTATGCCCAAGCAGAGAGAGCTGAGGTGAAGAAACACAAGGGAATAGGAGCAGCCAAGTCTGTTCCCCTTTCTCCTGGTGAAAGTTCACCGTCCAACAAGTTTTTCACTGATTGAAGCCTTTTTGCCCTCAGTGATACGTTTCCAGCCTGTGCTGAAGGTTGTCACCTTGTGTTCTGCAAGCAAAGCAGAACAAGGCTTGTGCCTCGGGGGCGTCCGTACAAAGCGGTGGTTGAGATCCGCTTCGATTTCACCTTTGTTGGGGACACTGAGGTCACCTTGTGTGCCCTGGCATCTCCAGCCCCCCAGCTGCTCCCCCAGCCTGCGCCAGCCAGGGCCCTGAACCTTAGATCAGCATCACGGCCAAATCCAAAGCACCTCAGGTCACCCCTCCAGATCTATTCTATGCCCATTCCTGCTGCTCGCCCATCCTGAGGCATGCGGGGGAATGAAAAGCCCCTGCTCAGTGTTTGGTGGCGTCGCTGTCACACAGACCGTGCTGTGCTCCCTCCTGGGCTGCAGCAGGACAACGTGCCCAAGAGGGGCTGAGATCTGTCACCATTAAATGTATTTCACCAGATGTGTTTTTCACATCAGACATTGAAAGTAACACAGAGCCGTGGCTGGAAATCATCTAACCAGGAACACCTCACCTTAATTACACATCACCCAGAGGGATGTAAATCTGTGATGGAATTACCTGGCTCTGGGCAGTGGGAAGCGGTTTCGATATAAAACTAAACCTAAAAAATGATTAACCTCAGTGACTGTAACGTTTACCCCGCGGTCATTTAAGGGTGGCAGGAGTCCAGAGTCTACACCATGCATACGAATGCAACGTATTGGTGGACCATGCAGTGATGAAGCCAGGAGCAAATCTCTGACAGCTGTTGCTGAAGCAGCTCATTCTCCATTTCTTTTTCCTGTTGAGCCTGGTTCCAGCTTCCCCATGTGCCCAAGGGTGCTCTGTCAGAGAAGACTTACTGCAAGGTTCAACACCACAAAATTTATGTGGGTACCCTCCTTCAGTCCTTCGTGTGCGTTAAGAAGAGACAAGGCTGACTGTTCACCCAAAAAACAGTGTCACAAAGCACCTGAAAATAACCAGCAATCTCAAATCATCCAGATTTTCCTTTTGCTGCAAGGGAACATCAAACTTCCTTTCTCCGGAGCAGAAAAATTTGAGATGTAACCAACCTGGTGCAGTAGGAGAGCTCTTCTGAAACCCACCCTGCTTGAGCCCAGCCGAAGATTTCAACTGGTTGTTTGCATCCCATGCCCTGGTATATTTTGCCAGGGAGCCACACAGTTGTGTACCCACCGATGACTGCAGCTACCAGGGGTTCAGCCCTGTGCTCCCTCCAGGAAGGAATCGGCTCCGTGCCTGTACGAGGCAATCACTGGGTCAGTGTGGGGCTGGGGCTGGGCCTTGGCTCCTCAGCTGAGGACGGATGCACGTTGCAGTATAGACATTCTGCTAGAGTAACTCACCTCTAGTGCATGAAGGAAAGCTGGCAGGGCACATTTTCATCAACAACTGCCAACCCTGCCAGAGTGACCACTGTGATGTTGTCAGAGCCTATGTCCCCATGAGCACACCCCAGGCTCGGGCAGGAGGTGTTCAGTGCTGGGGCAGAGGACAGGGGGCAAAACCTGGTGGAAGGCTTGAACTTCAGGCAGTTATTTTCTGTTTTATCTTTCTCTTTCACCCCTTTGGCCATCATGTTGGTGGAGCTTCAGATGTTCCCCGCCAGCCTGTGTGTGTTCACCCGAGCAGCAGTCTATATGCTGACCTCCTGGGATGCTTTCGCCTGATGGACCCCCTGACTCTCCAAGGACGTGGGACCCCGGGGACACCCTCTGTCCTCATGCTCAGTTTGCTGTGCAGGGGGTCTGCGGGACAATCTGAGGCTCTCTTCCCAATGGGAACCTGCTCCTGCAGGGGCCTGGCCCTAAGGACTTTGCTTTTACACCCCTGTGGCTAGTCTGTGGCTCTTAATTCCCATCTACTCAGGTCTGTTTGGATGCTCTCAGAGAAGGACCCGCAGCTCATTCTGATGCATCCCAGTGCTTTGCTTTATGAGTACATCTCCCAGCCTTCTCCCCTGCCCCGGCTTTTTGAACTTGCACTGTGTTACTGCAGGAGGTGGAGCAGTGGAAGCAACTTCCACAGGGAAAATTCTCTGATGACATTTAAGAGGCTGGCAAATTTTACATCTCCTTGGAAAATTATTCTACTTACCACGGTCATCTCCATGAAAATGCTGATTGTGCTCAGCAGGGATGAGGTCTTGGCTTTCAGCACTGTTGCCTCTCTGAAGAGTGTCAAGAACTTTCTTCGGGCTGAATTCCTTGATTTTTTGTTTATTGATTTTTGCCTCCCTGTGGAGATTTTGCTTCAGCTCTGCCTGGGTTTGCAAACGAGTCATCAACACAAGCAGCAGAGGAGTGAACACGTTTTAACAGTTCGAAGTGGCATATCATTAGGGGGTTGGTGCTGAAAATGATTATGCAGTTAAGTACCTTAACCAGAGCAAACAGTGTTTGCCAAACCGGGCACATGACAGAGCATGACCTGCATGGAGATTTTTGGTTTGTCCATGGGCCATGGCCAAAAGAGGGCAAAACATTGGAAAAATCAGAATTACTGATCGCAGGGTGCCTGGGGATGCTCCCCACCTCTCCTTGGCCTGACCCCCTGGGAAAGCTTCATTTGATCTTACCAGCAACAGGCTTTAAGCCTCCTGGTCCTTGGGAGAGACACCAGGGATGGGCAAACCCCTGTCCGAGAGGAGAAGCCCCAGCCTATCCCCCAATCCATCTCAGCATTACCTCTCGGCGCCTGCGGATCAAATCCAGCATCTGCAGCTTGTGCAAGTGCTGCCGCCTTCCAGGGAGGTGTCTTAGGCTTTTCCCCCTCTTCTCCAGAGCCTACAAGGTGTTTAAAAATGTAAATAAATACACCTGCGCTTTCTGAAAGAAAAAGGAACAGCCGCCAGCTTGCAAACCCACACCCGGCCCCTCGGGCACTCCCCGGATAAAGGCAGCAAGCGTCTCCCTGAGTAGTCAACTTGCAGAAATTTATCACAGATTTCCACTGTGCTAGCAGTTTATCTCACAGCTCTGGGGCATGATGGAAAAAAATCTTCATTAAAACAATGTATACATGCTTCTGGCCCCCGGGGTGTTACAGCTTTGAGTTGGCTGCTCAAGATAATCTCATGATCCGAAGGGAGGAACCACTTCAGCATGTTTGGGGTTGCAGGGGATGTTTACAACACACAGCACTGGCAGTCTTCTCCCTGCCAACTGCAAGGGATGGGTGTTCAGGTTGCTCAGCCATTAAAAAAAAAAAAAAAGTGGTCCTTAAACCTTTAGACTCAAAAATATTCAAGGTTCTGGCTCAGCAGATCCGCCTCATCCAGGGAACAGTCATGCTGGAGATTCAGAAAATTTCCCTTTATTTTGTATCCTTTCACCCACACACCAGCGTTTCAGCTGGTTCCTGAGCTCAACCAGGGACAGGAGTGCAGCTGGTGTAAAACACCAACTTCTGCTCTTTGGGGTGCCCGAACTCTGAGATCCTGCAGCCGACAATGACCCACGCACAGAGCTCAACCCATGCCCTTACCTTCACTTTTGGGCTTGCAGCCACTTCTTGCTGACTCCAGGGCTTTGCAAGAGCGATTGCTTGTGGAGGGCCAGCGGGTTCAAGCCTCTGCAAGTCCCAATATTTATAATATTCAGCATTGCTTGTTCCACACAATCATAAAACCTGATATGAAACTACCTTGACATTTTCCCAGATCCAATTCTAACCAGTCTGCGTGGGATACAGGAAGGAGATTGGCATCTCTAGCAGATGTTCAGCAAGATGAGCATCTCCTTTGGTCCTTCAGGAGTGGACAAAACTGGGGAAATCTTCTGTGTTACAGTCAAGGCAGCAAAAACCCAGTTTGACATTAGTTTCATTCCTGTAGGTATTTCTCTTTGAGCTTCAACAGTGCCCAAGGCTCCAGCTAAGACCACTGAAGACAAACCTCAGCCCAGATGGCACCATGTCAAAGCTGAAGCATGGCAAGGTACCATAATTTAATATAAAGACTCATAAACAGGTTATCTGAGGGCAGAGCACAGCTACCTGAGACCCAGAGCCACATTCTCTCTTTTATGTTGGCCTAAGTAAGACCTTTCTCTGCAGAACTCTGCGTGATACAAAGTGCTTTTCCTGGTAGCTAATGAAAGCGGGCAAAGAATTGCTTTACAGACTGCTCTAAGCATGGATCTTTATCTTAAGGAGCTAAGTTGCCTCCTTAAATCATGCCAAACTACTAGATCATACCAAGTCATTTCATGGCTTGATATTGCTAGTGTCCTTTTCTAGGATGGGAGCTCCATACGGCTTCCATAAAAATTAAGAGAAGCATCATCAAGGACATCATCAGTAAGACCTGACTTACTTTATGTGAGGCATCATTAACTCCTTGATTATAAACCAGTGTCCAATAAAAGATGACATGTCTCTGCCTGCGCTGAACTGCTGACAAAGCCTGAGCTGCAATTTTGAAGCATCCTGTAAATCAGTGCAAAAACACAGCAGAAAAAAAAAAAAAAGTCAGGTAAAGGGGGAATTCCCAGTCATCCCCAAAAGCCAAGTTCACACATCTCAGCATCAAAAAAACCCTACAAAACTGAATAAGAAGCTTAAAAAAATGGCACTAGATGGCAGCAAGTGACACCACAAACTGCAGTCTGGGCTGTGCATCACTCCTAGATGCCACCAAGGCAGCCAGCCCGGGGTGGCTGAGGGCAAATCAACTCCTGCATCTCCCAGCTCATCTCCCTGCGTGTGGCAGGGAAGCCACGTTTCAGGCTTTTGGCTAAAGTTGTGTCGCAGGTTGGAAAACTGACTCTTTTCTTTTGTCTCTGTGAACCTCACGGGGTTTTTCTCTGGAAATTTTCTCAGACCGAAATCCTCTAAAAGTCCTTCAGCAGGCCACGTCATCCTGCTCTGCTGTCTTTGAAAATATTCCTGCAGGGAAAAGGGCTTTTGCTGGTGCAGTTTACACTCCCTAACAGCAAAGGCAGAAACATGGTGCAGGATTAACACTGTCATCCTGCAGTGAGTATTATCAGTGTTTTAATAATACATAAATATGGCCATAATGGAAATAAGATCAATGACAAAAAATTACATGCTGGTAGGAGATTTTAAATGAGGCTGGGATTCCACATGATAGCTCACAGAGCAGAGCTGGGCTCATTCCAGGTGCTGCTGCCTCATCCTCCCACCAAATCCAGGGATACGTTATTCAAGTTTGTGCTCTCTGAAGCCACCAGTTTTGGCCAGTGCCACAGCCCTGAGCAGAGGGGTTTTAACTGGCATTGCCTGGTGGCTATTCTGTTCTTTATTACATTAAAAATACCTTAATCGCAGCAAGGAAGGCCGGGGCAACACAGCCTTGCTTCGGTGGGTTTGCTGTTGTGGAGAGGGTTTGTCACTAAATTTTGGGAAAGTAGAGATGCTCTCGGGGAGGTCTCACAGGGAGGTGAGAATTTCTCCTAAGGATTTGAATTGCAGGGGATTAGATAGGTGCTTGGGAAGGAAGATGACCAGTGTGGGCAGCCGAGGGGCGGCTCAGCGCTGGGACAACCCAGCACCTACAGGAGGGCCACAGAGAAGCACATTTGGGGCAAATACATCTCTTTCATGGGTTAAACAGTCAAGAAGTGTGTTTGCCTCTCTTTATCCCCAGCCACCAAGAACTCCCTCCAGCCACCTAATTAGACCTACATCAGGGCTCTCTTAGAGGGGTACAACATTGGTCCGTAATTGCTAATTGGAAGTCCTGCCTAAATGAGAGCGTGGGGGTGGTGGGTTATTCCCAGCAGCTGATCACCTCCGCAGGCAGAACATCCTGCTGCACCTGTGCTTGGAGGGGTCTGCTCATGTTTTCCCCTTTCCCTGCCTGATTTGATTCCTCTGAGCCCTGTTTGCTCTCAGTTTTAGAGCCTCCAGGACTGTGCCAAGCAGCAGAGAAGAAACACTGCTGGAAGCTTCAAACAGGGTCTCCGATAGAGAAAGATCTGGGGAGCGAAGTGGGGAAGCTGCAGCTCTGGGGCATCCAGAGTGGGGCTGACATCCCTCCCTGAGCCTTTGTGAGCATGTAGGGAAGGAGGGAGAGCTCGATCTCAGCTAAACACCATCAGCTTTGCACCCTCAACAGCGAGCAGGTAAGAGATGTGAAGGTGGAAGGTGTCGCTGGTTGGTTTTGGAGGGTGTGGAGAAGCAGTGAAAATTCAGAGAAAGCAGCGTGCCTCTCTGAGTTTGGGTTTTAAATAACCTGATTTATGGCGAGAGTTGTACAGCCCTGGTTAGCCCTGTGAGCGTGTGATGGGGTCTCTCCGAGGGCTGAGCCTCACCCAGGTTTTGTACTGTATAAAAACCTCAGTGCAGAAAAATATCCGCACAGAAAATGGATGCGGAGGGGGGTTTGTCACTTTTTAAAAAATGAAATAACAACTCTAAGCCTTGTGTAGTATGGTACATTAGCTGTGTTTCTTTTCCTCCTCTGCACTAAATTATATGAATACAAAGATATTTCTGGAGCTTTAGTTATGCTGTGGTGACTCGTGTGTGGGAAAACCCTGACTGCCAGGTTGGGCAGAGTCGTGGCTTTCAGGGCTTGGAGGGGAAGGGATCTGGGAAGTGTGAGAAGGGGAAAGGAAGGAGGTCAAGGAGGAGTGAACAAGGGTGTTTTATGTTTGTTTGGGGGGAAACCTTTTTTAATATCTGGCTAGAGAGGGGGGTGTGTGTGGACACGCACATGCCATGCTTTTGAGGGGAGGAGGTGAAGGCGTGTGCAGGCACACAGCATGTATAGCGATTCTTGAAACCTAAAATAATTGCTCCGTACTTTCACCAGCCCCTATTGCAAAGCGTATCTGTCTGCTTTACCTGCCGCTCTGCCTCATAGCTGATGCCAGACCTTGATGGGGTATTTGACCAGAAGAGCTAAAACCAGCCCCACAGGCTGCAAGTTGGATCCCTTCTGCAAAGGGCTTGTTCTTGGCTGTGTTAGCCCCACGGGAGTGCTAAGATTTGGCAGCAGGTACTCGGACACCACAAAGGAAAGTGGGTCATTACAGGAGAGGGGGCCTCATGGCCAGAGCTGGGACATGTGTCCTCATTGCGGGGTCTCCATGGCACGCCAGGGCTGGCCCACAGGGCGCAACCCACAGAGTCAGTCAGGAGGGCAAAGGCAGGGCCTCGCTGTGTTGTCCCCTCTCTGACTGTTTTTGGAAGATGAAGTCCTTGCCCTTGTGCTAATGAACCAAAAATAGCCTCTCTGTAGTCAGCACTCCTGCCCTGGGTATCAAACCTGGCCCGGTGATGAAGCTCGTCTGGTGATGGTTATCTAAAGGTAGGACCTCCTGCTTGCACTGCTGTAGGATATTTGTTTCCCCACCGCAGTGCTGTGACACATGCCCGCGTCCCCAAGCACAAAAGCCCATGTCAGCCAATCAACCGGAGCCACTCGTAGGGAGCTTTTCAAACTCGCCTTACTTGAGGTCTGCGAGGTGGGTGCTGTTTAATGATGCTGGTTTCTCCCTTTTCTGGCACGGTGTTGAAAGCAAGAGGCCCTTAAAGATTAAAGAAGAAATGGACCGAGTTACTTCTGGATGATTATCAACTGCTAGGCTGTACTCAGCGATGGTTTTCTGCCCTGGTTTGCATGTCCCACTAAAGTCTCTCTCGGTGAACTCCAGTAACACGGGGTATAAATTATTCTATTAGCTGTAGAAATAAAGTGAGGATGTAGCTGTGGTTTCCAACAACTGTGTCTGCTGCGTACGTCTCCTACTTCCCTCTACAACCCCTCATACATACTACACATGACAATAACCATCCTCAGTATCCCCTACGGTCTCCCCAAGTCCCTGGGGTCCCCGTGTGACCAAGGGTCCTCTTCTCCTCCTGTGGCCTGTGACTATCAGCTGGTCAAGAAACCTGTGAGCTTTGCTGCTTCCTCACTGCCTGCCCTTTTAAAGTAGGGAACAGGCAGCACTTGGGCCTTTTCTTGCTGCTCAGTCCCTGAGACTTTATTATTGGGTTTTTTTTGTGAAACTGAGAAGTATCTCTGATGCTTTTACTGACCACGGCAGAGCTGGGCTACAGCCAGCCAGTGGATTCAGAAGTTACAGTCAGACAATCAGTATGATCACAGACCCTCATCTTTGGAAATCATCATGAAATAACATGTTACACCCCAGTGATCACCAGTTAGTTATTAAAGCAGTGCTTTTGCTGAGGCCTGGATGTGATCTGGGCTCTGGTATGTTCTGCACTGGTGCTCTTGAGTGGACACTGCTGCCTATTTTTTTTTTCCTTGCACAAATAAATACTTATGTGCAGTAAGTATTTCTTTTACAAAATAGTTGCTCAATCTCACCTCTTCTCCCCAAAAAACCCTGTCTTGATGCATTCAGATGCCATTGTATACACGGAGTTGAGTGAGGTGCTGCTGAGCCCACATGGTGGGACCCCCAAGGTGGCCACAGGAGAGGACAGTTTGGGATAAAGTGCAGGAATTACATTATAGTTGGTGCCAAATAATTTTTCTTTTGAATATAACTATTAAATAACTTGGAATTCACATTATGGAGGCTTCAGTTGTCCCTTTAAATGAGCCCCATGGAGCATTGCAAAGGCAGGGCTCTTGGAGAAGAGACAGAAGGTGATGGAGGGTGTTGGGGTATGGGAGGAGATGGTGACTCCATCTGATAAATGATTGCTGGGCTCTGCTGAGCACTGGCAATGATTAACCGCTGAGCAAAGCTGCGGCTGCTCTGCACACGCAGGAATGGGCACGTGGAGTCAAAATTTACAGCGCAGGTAGCTCCTCCGGAGATGGGCTTCAGCTGCCGGGGAGCACCCACTGAAATAGCAGCTTGTAATAGCAAACGGGGGGTTATTAACTTACTGCCTCTCAATCTGCAGGACAAATGAGTGCAGAGGGAATTTCTAAGGGGGAGGTAAAATGTAATGAGGTGGCTCATGGTGCTGGGAATGTGCGACCCAGCACAGGCTGGGCTGGGGGTGAGGAGAAGCTTGTTCTGGTTACGTGTATGGCTTTGGGGAGGTTATTTCTGCCTTATGAGGCTTGATGGTTTGTGTTGTGTTTGGTTTTTTTTGTTATTATTATTCCCTCTTACCCTATCCATGCACGTGTGTTATAGGAGATTTGCCCTTATGTTGTACAGGTACAGAAATGGGAGCCAAGTGCTTGCTGTCCTCCAACCTGCCTAGTCCTGGGGCAGGGATGTTCCCTGGCACACCTGCACGATCCTGGTGGGGACGGACCATCATCCCTCCCACACAGGGATCATGGGGCCCAAGCTGAAGTCATTCTTTTGAATTTTATTTTTTCCCCTTGCATTTTAGCAGCAGAAGATCCTCCCCTCCCCAATGGAGGAATCAGGATTTAACACAAGCCAAGGTGAACCCTCATAAACCACATAAAACCTATTCTCTTGGAGGCTTTGCTTATTTAGAGAGCAGCTCAAACTAATACATTGCTCAAGCCCTCTTGAGCATACTTTTTTTTTATTTTTTTGAAATGAAAAGTAATAGAAAATGACATTTATTGAAGGGGTTTTAAAGTTTTTTATAAAAGTAGATAAGTTTTACAAGCACTTGTTAAATACCCAGTGATGATAATTTTCCAGAACAGGAACATTCGGTTGTTCTTTATGTCATGAAGTACTTTAAACCCCCTGTTGTACAGCCAGGCCTGATGCGTATTTGCCCCAGGACCTCTGGCTCCAGGAGCATCACTACTATTATGCCAGAGGTTTATTTGCTTCACTTTTTCCTGATGCCTCTCAGTGGCAGATCCTGAGGGAAATATCCAGCCCCTGGTGAAGCAGCGGTGCTTAATGCTGCTTGGTGTGTCAGAAAATCATTTTTGGAAATGGAAAAGAGGGGAGGAGGGTGCTGAAGCTGCAGATCCTCCTTCCTCTGCATCGCCTTTTCTCAAGCCACATGGGCGTTCATGGGGGTTTCTTCCTACGCCCCCCTAACGTGGCTGTGGGAGGCTGTTTGTCACCATCCAGCTCGCTGTACGGAGCTACGCATCCACCTGCAGATGGGTGCAAACTGTCTTCCTCACCTCCGAGAAGGGTTTGGGTATGGATGGAGTTTAAACCCTCCTGCGAAAGGCTGTGGGAGAGGCTGCACGATGCCGCTTGCAGAAAAACACACACAGCTATGCTATTCACTGCCTTCTGCCTCTTGGCTTATGGAAATCAGCCCTGCGCAAGACATGGCTATAATTTATTTTAATGATGAATTTTACCTGCTAGGCACATTACCCAGGATCTAATTCTAATTAAGCTAATGATATCGATATGCCCAGTGGCGGCAGGTGAGCAGGGCGGGTGTGTAACCGGGAGTTATGGGGCTGCTGTACGAGGGCTTGCTGGGATGCAGGCATGGCAGGTGGATGATGGGGAGTGGGGCTGTTCCCAGGGGGACGACTGACGGGAGTAAGGAGCATGGGGTCTGGGCCCTGGGGGTTGAGATGCTTGTCAAAACAGACTGGGGGAAAAAAACCCAAGTTTTCCCAAAGCTAAAATGTCCTGGAAATGGCAAAAATCTACTGATGTAGAATGGTGTGTGCACAGACCTACATGCACACTGCACCGCAGTAAGCAACCCCCCAGCCCCAGCTGATGCCCCCGGGTCTCTGCCCTGCGCTCTGCAGTAATTCACTGACGACCCCCTTACCTGCCGCGGCTCTCCCGTACCAGGTCTCCCGGAGAGGTGGAAGTTCAAAGTGAAAGGTGGGTTCTCCCCACTCGGCCGTGGCTGGTGGGTGCAGGCTGGGCTCTCCCAGCACGCTGGGCAGCCGGTATGGAGCAGCAAGAGTGGGCAGGTGCTCCCCGACAGGCATCGGTGCCACCTTGGTCACCTTGGGGTGTGCCTTGGAAGAGCTCAGGCCCATTCTGCAGCACGGTGGCTTTAAAAGGAGGAAAAACCCCTCGTGCACCTTCCTCCCTGAACATGGAGGGATCTCTGTGAGTGACTGCTGGGCCCAGGGAGCTTCCTGCCAGCTCCCACGTCCTTCCCGGGTCGGTTAAACATTGACCTGTCCCTGGTCATTCCTCCATGGGGAGGAGACGTGGCTGCTGCTGACAGAGAAGTGGCAAGCAGCTCGGAGAGGCAGCACCAAGCCCTGGGGAAGCTTTATTTTTTTTTTTACCTATGAGTGATTTTCAACTATGGGCACCACCTCAGGTGGCTGTTGGCTGACCTGGAGGTATTTCTACAAGCAGATCTTGCTAAATCTTCAGGTTTTGGAAGGAAATTAAATCCTCGGAGCACCAGAAGGGTTAAAGCATCTCCCACCCTGAGTGGGAGAGGCAGACTGAGGACAGGGACTGGAGAAGGAGCATCCTCCACCCTTGCTCCTGCCAGCTGGTGGCATTGCTGGAAAAAATGCAGCTTTAGCACAAACCCACCTGAAAATGTCGTCCAAAGTGAGTCATATTCTGCACTTTTGGAGCTGATGCAGGAATTGGGCCAAACATAACAGGATTGGTGTATAAGGGAAAGATCTGCACTTCTCCATCTGCTCCCAAGGCATATGAGGGGGTTCAGAGGGCACGGGTTCCTGGGAGCTGTAGGGAGCCACTCATTTCCAAAATGGAATTGTTGGAAATTATGTAGGGAGGATTATTTATGCAAAAGATTAATATTGCAGGGTGGGTTTTGTGGCAGGGGTAGGGTTGTGGGAGGTAGCCAGAGCACCTGTGGTCTCCATGGTGAAACATGGAAAACAGCAAAGACTGAGCGTGTGAGAGAGCCCAAAACAGTGTCAGAACCAGGGTTCATTTAGTGGAAGATCATCCCACTGGGATTCCTGGAGTGATCCTGTATAGGTTTGGAGAAATTGGAGCCTCTTGACTTCTCTCTTGGGAGAGGAGTGTGAGGAGGAGGGTTTGCAGCAGAGCCAAGTGTCCAGTTCTCATGGCCAGTAGATCCACAGATGGACCACTCAACTCCCCCTTGGTGGAAATGGGGAGGTTTTGAGCTGCAAAATGCCACTGGTCAGAGGTGGCACCTTCCAGCAGAAATTATTCATCCCCGGAGCAACTGAACTGGTTCATGTTTTAGCCACAAAGCACTAATATGACTTGTGACTTTGCTTTACAGCCAGTCACACAGGGCATGAGGGAGCAGAGTAGCCTAGTCTGTATTTTTTTTCCCTTCTTCAAATGAAAACATAAATGCTTCCCTCCTGAGTTTCTCAGTGCTTAATGTCTATTTTTTCCTTTTTTTTTTTTGTTTTTTTTCTTTCCCTTTCCCCTGCTGAGAACGGGTCATTCCTGTTAAGCAGCTTGGTAAAATAGTGAATTAAATGCAATGATGGATGTGTCGGAGCAGCAGAAAATGCCTGTGGATGTTAGAGGTAGTGCCTGTAGTGCTGTATCCGGGTGTTTCACCCGGGTGTGACACTGTGGCCCTGCTGAAGTCCTCGCAGGGTCCCCCTGCTCCCTGTGTTGGCAAACCCCCTCTCTTGGCCAGGTTTCTTTCCAAGCTGTATGGGTTTCCCCGCCCGCCCTGCAGGATGGCACCGTGGCTTGTCGTAGAGTGATTTCAGGAAAGGGATTGCAAAGGAACAGACGTACCCAAGGTTGATGCTGTTCCAAGCACTCCATCTCTGGGTGAACAGATCCTTCTCTTTGCGTTTACAGGTGATGCAGTATCCCCCTGGGTGGCTCATGAGCACCAGGTCCCACCTCCCCTGCTGCAGTGCCCCACATGCCCCAAGGGTGTTAGCCTGGCAGCACTGCACAGCACTGTGATGCTGCATCAGTTAATGACGAGTATCTCCCAGAAAATCTCCAAAATCTCAGCATCTGGGTACTTCAGACCTGTGCTTTGGTCTCCACACACCTTTACTTTGTAAAGCCAAGAGGGCCAAGAAGAGCAGCTGTGGGTTTGGGGTGGGGGGAGGAAGGCAGGCTGCAGAAAGAGACCCTGCAGATCGCTGGGGCAACCCGAGAGCAAGTTGGGGTTGTACCGGGTCCCAGAAGGGCCCAATGGTACTGGAGGAGGCTTCCCAAATATTACCACTTGCAGTTGCTGGGCTAAAATTATCCCTTCACACCTTTACCCGTTGTGTAGATGCTGGGGGGTTTGCTGGGTGAGCTCTGTGTGTGCAGTGATGGAGATCATGGTTATCATCATTGGCATCGTTTCAGCCTGCTCAGCTCAAGAGTGAATGGTGCCAGCCCCTGCTACAGCACAAGTAATCCTGGTGTTAAACCCCACACTTAAACCCGCCTTTAACACCAGCCGATGGCATTTGAAGGGGGGAAGGATGGGTTGAGGTTCAGGCTGGTTTCATCGCTGCCCCTCTGGTGATGTGAAGCTCATCCTTTTCTTTAACTTGGGGGGTTATTTAATGCAGCCTTTTATCTGTGTTTAAGGGTCAGTTTGATTCCCAACTGCTGTGCTGTAGAAACGCGGGGCTGGAAGGAGCTTTGGTCCCACACATTGCCTTTAGGGGCAGCGTGTGGTCCCTCGTAGGAGAGTTGGAAGCTCTTTGTACCTTTTATTTATTGCCTGAAACCCTCCACCTGGAACCTGAAAATGGTACAGATCTTTCCAGAATTGGATTTTCCAGCAAATTTGTTGTTGTCATTTCACTGACCCCTAAGCACTTGGATGCCATTGTTTTAAGGAAGAAACAGGGAAAAGCCCAAGGCTAGTGCAGTGCCATGACTTGGGATAAGGCATATTCCCATGGAGGAGCAGACTTCGTTACTCACCTGCACATGGAGCAAAGGGGAACCAAGGAGAAGATTCAGCACGGGGCACCAGTCTAACGTCCAGCTGCAACGGTGGATGACCTCCGCCTTAAAAATTATTTTTAAACTACAAAAAACACAGGCACGGGAGGAGATGGGAAGTGGGCAGCACTGATTTTTGCCAGAATAATGCCTGGACTTTATGCAAATCTCGTGTGAGTAAAGCAGAAGGAATTGTAACAAAGCAAATAGGCTTGTTGTCATTTATTATGCTTGCAGCATGTTTAGCTGGCCATGGCGTGAACAAACGGAGCAGCAAAGAGAGGAAAATAATCCAGCACCGTTTCACTGGCTGGGATACACACCAGTGCAGCTAATAGATTCTGTTATTACACATCTGTAAAGTCAATAAATGTAGTTTCTTCCTCCTGCTGCTGCTTGTCTCCTGTATTAACAGGGGATGTTCATCTTATCCCAGCCAGGGCTGAGGATACCGGTGGTGCTGAGATAATATTGTCCACAGCGCCTGGTCACTGAGCCCTCCGGAGAGGGTGTGCACAGGCGGCGATGCTCGAGGCAGGTTTTTTGCAGCATATTTTGTTTTCCTTCCAGATTGCTGGGCCTTGGCGTGAATGAGAATCTGATAACGCAGCTGCTGGATCCGAAGTAGTGTTTTCCTGGGGTGCAAACGAGACAGCGCAGCTGAAATGAAACATTCACCTTGCTGCAGACCGTAGAAGGGCTCATCAGAGATGCCCACAGCAGCAGAAGTAACCACATCTTATCGGTCACTTGATGGGTACAATTACTGTTTTGCATTCCTCTGGTGGATCATCAACACCAGCATGCAAAATACCCTCATTTATTGTCTGATTTCTTAGGTTTGATGGGTTTTCTCTAGCTGAAAGGCTGAGCGGCACTCTAGGGAAAACAATTAATGTTCCTCACTTGATAAGGAAGACAAACTGCAGGTTGGGCAGTGGGTGAATGAGGGGGCTGTAGGGAATTGCTGAGGGGGATGAGCACCCCTGGAAAGTGGGCGTGACGCAACTGAGGGATTAGATACCTGTTTGCCTCTGGGGATCTAGGGAACTCGTGGCTACAGCATGGATGTTGCCCAGAGCTGATGGTGGGGAAGGATGGAGTAAATCCCTCCTGCCCACCTGCAGCAGGGGCTGGGGGGAGTGAGGTGGTGGCAGAGAGGGGAAAGCCTTCTGCAGCCCTGGTCCAACCCTCAGCGCTGTTTGCTGTGCAGGCAGCAACATGGGGAATGCTCGCTCCTGGCAGAAAGCTGGGGTCGGTTTAGAGGATGTCTGTTAACCCTGATGTGAGGCGGAGGGCAGCTGCTGGGCTCAGAGCTACACTACATGTCTTTTCTCCCTGTAGAAATGTGAGGGTGATTGCTGGTCCCTGGGGATGGGACATGCACGGGGGCTGCTCGTAGAGAGTGACAGGCTGGCACAGTACCACGCTGTGCCCCTGGCCATGAAATATCTTGAGAAGGGGAAAACTGACTCAAACGCAGGGAGTTCACGTGATTTTTCCCTGCTGAATACTCAACGATGTTCCTTGAAGGATCCAGTCTTGAGCCTGAAAATGCTGCTGCCATGAGGTTGCTTGCCAAAATGTACTCATCAATGCATACTAAAAGGAAATGTTTGTTTTTCCCATGTGTTCAGTTTGGCAGGAGCTAAAATTCAAAATGAATATACCAACTCCAAAATCGACTTGTGGTAGTGCCCAAGCTGCCATATGCTATTTGCTCTCAGCATATCGTTCCATCAGTATCTCCTGTTTGATAGAATTCACTTTTTAAAGAATATTTTTAATGTCTAGCTCCTTTCAAAAGCAGCAGACGAGGCGCTGAGCCCAGTTTCTCAAATGCTAGAAGGGAGTTTTAAGACTGTGTGTGTGCGTACCCAAATTTTACACCGCCGGGTTTAGTGCAAATGGGGATGGTTGGTTGGGTTGGTTTCTACAGTCCTAATTTTGCAGTTGTGTGGTGAAAGAGCCCAGCTTTAGGGGTTGTCAGGGTGTTTTTCTAATACATACAGGTATTTTGTTAGCTCTGCTGGTTGCAAGGAACAGTTTAGACATGAGTAAAATAAAAATAAAATTAAAAAAAAGTCAAATAGAAGAGAGTCAAATAAAAAGGTGCTGCTTTTTTTTTTTTTTTTTCTTACATGAA